TTGGTGGCGTAGTTGTGGTTGTTTCAGTCGTGGTAGAAGGTGTGGTGGTTGTACTAGTCGTTGGTGGTGGAGTTGTAGTTGTTTCAGTTGTGGTAGAAGGTGTAGTGGTTGTGGTAGTCGTTGGTGGCGTAGTTGTGGTTGTTTCAGTCGTGGTAGAAGGTGTGGTGGTTGTGGTAGTTGTGGGTGGAGGAGTTGTAGTTGTTTCAGTTGTGGTAGAAGGTGTAGTGGTTGTGGTAGTCTTTGGTGGCGTAGTTGTCATTTCAGTTGTGGTGGTTGTGGTAGTTGTTGGTGACGTAGTTGTCGTTTCAGTTGTGGTAGAAGGCGTAGTGGTTGTGGTAGTCATGGGTGGTGGAGTAGTAGTTGTTTCAGTTGTGGTAGAAGGTGTAGTGGTTGTGGTAGTCTTTGGTGACATAGTTGTCGTTTCAGTTGTGGTAGATGGTGTGGTGGTTGTAGTAGAAGGTAGTGTAGTAGGTTTTGATGTTGTGCTACATGGCACTGTCTTGCAACACTTTACCCGTATTTCATAATTTAGACATATGGGGGGATACTGTAAGCTGTTCCTACAGAGGAATCCTACTTTGTTGTTACATGTCACTTTTTGGTCCAAGGTTTTTAGGGGAACCCCAGGATAGTGCACACCCTGGCATTCCACTTCCACTGGATTCTCACAGATTTTATATCCTTTCTGGATGATATGTGCGATGGTTTCATTGTCACCGCCTTCAGGACCATACTCAGGGTAGTCAGAACTAATCCACTTTGACCAGTTGCATGATTTTTCCTGACAATGTGGTTCGGTAACATGTTTGGTTGTTGTAGGCGTTGGGGGTTTGGTGGTTGAACTTGGAGGTAACGTAGAAGGAGGTTTTGTTTGACATGCACCATCGTCACAACACATAACTCTGATTTTATAGTTGAAGCACAAGGCCAGTGGTCCTGATTGGTTCTGATTTCTGCATGTCAGCCCACTAGCCAGACTACATTCCACTACTTGTCCAACATCATTAATGGGCATTTTCGGGTATTTCTCAGCTCTGCATTCAATCTGGACTGGCTTGTTACATATCTTGTACCCTGCCTCTCTAATTTTTTTAAAGGTTTCACTGTCTCCTCCTTGAGGTCCCAGTGTGGGGAAGCTGGTATCATACCATTGCGACCATTGACAAGGATTACATGTGACTGGGCGTGTGGGTGGCTCTGTGGACAAACATGATAAAGATGTTAGTCATGTGGTAAATGTCACATTATACAACTAAATATGTCTTCAATTTCCAAAATGAATATCCTGCACATACTTGGTGTGGTTGTTGTAAAAACAAAGGTGGTTGGAGGGCTGGTAGGTGTCGTGGGTACTGGGCATGGGTATGACCTCTTGTCAATGGTACCATTCTTCCCGCACACCGCAATGATGCAGTTACCGTGTCCATCTGTTGTGTTATAGATGGTGCTGCCAGTGGGATATCTGTTTCCATGATATGTGCAAGTACAGGCTGTAATGAGAGGACAAAGTATAGTTAACGTATTAACCTAACAGAAGTATGTATTTTTACAACCCACAATTTCTCAGAATTTTGGCATACCTTGGGCATCGTAATGGCACTGGATGTTCATTGAACCGCAAATACTTCAAGACAGAAAACATGAAATATAGTGTCACTGTAAGAGTTGAAATGGTCACACAGTTACAGTATAGAACCTTGATTGGCTCATGTGATATGTACGAGACCTACCATGTCTGACAGTTTTCGGTGGTTGGTACTTTTTCATTATTTTTGTAGTGTTTCCCCTCTTTATCGTAGCAGCCACATTGGTCCTTTACAACACATGTCATTGTGTCCTCATCAAAGTATGGCTGAGCAAGGGGACATTTTGGATAGCAACCTAATTGAAAAACAAGCGGCTGTTTACACAGAGCAAGAAATGGGTTCTTACTTGTTGACATTATTGCCAAACAATAGGTACCATCAGAGTTTTTTGTGTGTTCACCTGACATTGTGATTGAATGAGTGATATTAAGCAAATTTTTAAACACTATTAAAAAAATTACAGTAACAAAAAGACAATCAATGTGTTCAATCTAAAATCTTTAATTTGATTTGATTGGAGGTCTTATCAAGTTCTAAAAACCTCATCTTGTACCTTCTAGAGGAGGCATCAGTGAGGAGCAGCTGCCTGATGGGTTTCTGCAGGTTTTCATACACGGAGATCCACATGGCATGTAGTGCCATTCACATTCACCCGGAGGATTGTAGTAATCACAGAAGAGAGCTGGAAAAGATAATAATACTCACAGTATTTAGTATAGACACGTACCAGACTGGGATATTCAGAGAGCATACTGATGATTTTAGACATTTATTGTAGTTCTCTGATCTGGAAATGATTCAGCGGCATTTAAAATTTAAACTTTAAAAGGCAGAGGGCAGAAATATAGCTGTTACTGATGACAAATGTTTATAATTCATAAATTACTGATACAGATTTTATGTTATAGTGATGTTAAAGTACTGATAAGTGCTTCAGCTAAAAGAATTGGTATTTTTTCTTGTTATGCAACTCTGATACTCTCATCTCTCCCTTTATCATAAAAACAAGTTTAGCCCAGGTGATCTGCATGAATCATATGCTTATGATAGCTTTTAAACAAGTTGTTACATCTTGGTTACTCACGACAGATCTTTGGGGTTCTCCATCGTACACAGATGCCAGCTTGATTACAGGCTTCAGCATAAGCAGCCACAGCAGTGCAGAAACACTCACAGTCTCCACCAGTGTCACAAGCACAGGAGTCAAACGCACAGGCATCGTAGTATGGAGCAGGATCCACCTAGAGGTGAGGATGATGACACACTAATAATGAGACTCCACAACACAAAACGCTGTATAGAGGAAAGGCACTGCTGCATTTCCACTTCTGGTTCTCTACATCGAAGAGGAAAATAATGTTTCTTTGACGCCACTACATTTATCTGACAGCTAGAGTTACTAAAATTAAGATTTTAATACAGAACATGATGCCTTCAAATTGACCTTTTGGCCTGAAGGCGCAATGGGAAAGCTCATGACTTCAAGTCCAGTCAACATGACTTCTACTTCAACATCAACCTACAATGGAGTGGCAGGCAGAGAAGACGTCACTCTGTATGATGCCGCAGTGCTTCTGGGCCCACGCCTGTCTGTATGGGTTGGCTGTGCAGGGGCTGCTGATGCTCTTAGCGTCGGGGCAGCTCGGTAAATCCTTCCAGCTGTTTCCAAACACCAGGGGGTTGACCACCACAGCATGGGACCTTGTGGTGAAGTCATTATTTGCATTGCCGTCGTAGTTGCCACACAGCCCACACACACGACCCTGAGAAAGTAGAGCTCCTTATTATCATGTTGGTCAATTTAACAATGTTGTCCGAAGAAAAATTAACTGTAGCCACATTAAAGCCAAAACTGTCTCAAACATATTGCAGGGTTACCTTGTATTTCGAGCTGAGCTTGATGAACAAGCTGGTCTTCCTGTCCCACATGAGAATGAGTCCATTGTTGGCTTCAACCACCAGGTAGATGCCCATAGTGCTGAAACGGAACGGAACTGTCTCTTCATTTCCGCTTGAAATCACCTGATAGCTTCCCTCTGTTAGAATCAGCTCTGCGCTCTAAATAATAAAAGAAAATGCGACATTATGAGCTTTCCCAGCCACTACTTTTCACTAAATCAGGAAAGCGGTAGGTGGCACTAATTCTCCAGGTGCCTGCAGAAAAAGAGGACGCAACAATTTGACGCAATTAAAAGAGCACCAGTCAAACAGCAAATGAAGAAAAACAATGGTTTCTATTGCACTTAGTCGCATTTATCTTTTATTGATGCACCAACTTTTTGTTGTATTTCAAGATTCTTTTAGGTGTTTGCACTGAGTTTTAAGGCTGGCTGTTGGTACTCAATACCTTTAAGGTATTGACCAAAAGGAGCAATTAGCAGTGACAATGCAATTGTTTTTTGACTTTTTTATATTGACTTTTTTTTTACCCCCAGAAAGATCTTGATGGTTTTGGAGCAGGTGGTTCCTGTGGTTCCACACGGGACATTCTCAGTGATCACTCTGAATGTTCCATTACTCTCAGCGCTGCCACAGTAGTCCTGAGGAAGACACACAAACACACAAACACACACACAAGCTAATCATCAATATTAGTAGCTCCGCTTGACGTTTGACCAAGCAGCAACCAAGTCGGCTAAAAAAATGAAGCCAATGAAGAAGTGCCAAAGACTGCAGTTCCTCTAATGTCCACTTGAGGCTGGCTTCAGATGCAAGTCAGTCCCCATAGACCTTCATGTTAAAATGCCCGAACTTTACAGCAGGAATAAACATGTTTACAGCCTGGTACAAAAACAGTTTTTGTCTCCATAGCTAATTTCAGTTGAGGTTTACTCTTTTAATATTATCTTGTCCACAAAGAAAGTTCAGACTTTCATTATTGACAACATGAATAACATCACTCTGCTTTTATGTGCATTCATACCTGAGTGAGAATGTATTCACAGGTGCCATCGAAGGTGAAGCGCTTCCGATCAAAAGTCATGTAGTGTCCGGCACCGTAGACAGAGCAGGTTCCATCACACTGGTTGGTGGTGCACTCCCACTTAATGCCTTTACAGGTGCTGTTAACAGATACAGAGTAGATGACATCAGGTTTATAACGGAAGACTTGCCTGTCTGTCTGTCTGTACGTGTCAGTCGCAGATGGAGGTGTCAGTATTTCACTCCACATGTGATTCACCTACCAGGTGTTGCAGTCCACCTTGGTGGTCTCTCCATGCTGGTACGAGATGCCGTTGTGAACACAGAAACAGGCTTCTGGCTTGATGCAGCCTCCTTTACCATCAGACACCAAGTCAGAGGGACACATACAGCCGGAGACGCACCCTGTGGTCACCTGGAGAAGAGATCCAACATATAATCCACAGTCATATGTTTCATTTCTGCAACATCAGAGCTCAGATGATCCAAATACTTGACCTAGATATAAACTAATAATCAGTATTTGCTGGTAAACATTGTGTTATGCTGGGGAACAGGTGACTCACACAGGTCATGTCTAATGTGTTGCAGCTCTTTTCACACTCAGTTCCTTTTGCTCCTGGGCCCTGAGCAGAGCAGTTGTAGTACACCATGGGAGCAACACAGGCTGCTGGGAAAAGACATCTGAAATTACTTCACAAATCACAAACAAAATGACTGATGGAGGCAGTGGTAGAGCAACAGCTCCTGTGTTCAGCAAAGCTAAATCACTGTTTTTCTCAATGGACTCTGGCTTTGAAGAGAGCGATATAACAACTTCAGTTTCCCACTGTAAATAGCTGTTTGACACTAAGGTAAAGCAGTGAAAATATTCTACTACTCTGTGGCTAAAATACGTTTTGCTGCTGACCCCGTCCACAGCAGTACATGTGTTAGCTTCCATGTTGGCCTCCACACAGGGGGACTGACATCTACTATATGTAATACACTGACTATGGTAGTACCTCATAAAACCCTAGTTCAAAAGATCATCCCTTTAATCAATGAACGTCAGAACACAGGAGTTTATTTATATCTAAGATGTAACATAAATGTTGTCAAACACGGCCTGAGAATCACAGTTGCAGATACGATTTGCAGAACAAACACTCTGTAGTTTACACCTGTCACATCATGTTTAAATGATGCTAATGAGTCAGCAGCTCTTTTGCATTTTTCTCTTTGCTTCCTGTTCCAGGCACATTCTCCACCTCCAGAGGACCCTATTTACTGTAACCTTAGGTAAACATCCCCACAGCAGTTGGAAACACCACAGCTGTTGGAGGCTAAAGGCAGAAACATGCAGACAAACTGGTGGTCTCAGGTAAAAAAAAAAAAGTCCTAAGATAATCAGTCTGTGATTAATGAAGGCTATCTAGCAGAATTTCAGGAGCAGGACCACACCTCAATGTCACTTCCTGCATAAATAATCCCCTAACCCACCCCTCCTGTTTCACTCTCACATTCTCCACCCCTCCCTCTATCCCGTTCTGCACTTTCTCTTCTTCTACTCTATGTAAGGCCCTGAGGGGGTTCTGCATGCACAGGCGCTATGGCTGATCCCCTGTCACCCACCTACAGATCAATCGTGGGATCCCTCCCCAGACGACTTAAAACCTATTCTCACCTGGACCCATCAAACTCTAATGACATGATGCCACATGATGGCTGGGTGGGCCATGACTGACATGTAACCTTGATGACTCTTTAAGGGTTCACACAGCGTTTAAAGCCTGCAACTCTACACCAATCCGTTAGAACTGCAGAAGCCTCTTGGATGAGAGGCAAAACGTCTTCAAGAAACTCAAGCAAGTCCAGTTGCCTACGATATAGCACTTAAGATTACCATGACCTGGATGACTGAGAATCTTCACCAACATCCCCTGTCAAAGCTTCCTTACAACACATTCGGCAAAGCAGATGAACTACATGCAGGTTACCCTCCAACATATAAGTCATGTTAAACCCCACCTTGCTATTAAATGTCTAGGAAAAGCAAGAATAAACATGTTCTGAATTTGTCACACCACAAAAACGCATGTCACGAACCACCCAGCAAAATTGCAGATTATGTTGAGTAACCAGGTCGTGATTTCTGGAAAGAGACATTAATGTTGAGTCTCACAAGGTATATTTTTTGGCGCTTTGATCACCACAAGCTGAGCGCCATCTAGTTCTATAACAGCAGAGAGAAGGCAGACATCTTTACGGCTGATATCTCCAACACTCTGCAACTCACACCAAAACAATCCGGCTGATAAACAGCACTACAGGTCAGAGGAAAAATATGCCTTTTTGATTTTGGAGTGAACTGTCAAACCAGTTTTCCCCACTGCTCCCAGTCTGAGTCCAGTTTAAGTTAATACAGTACTACTAGAAGGAAAGTAGCAACTTCCTTTAGGCTGCTTGTTATCAGGTGATTCTGTGACTTACATGGCTGTTCAACAATCTCTCCAATGCATTTGAGTTTGCCCCCCTTACAGGTGCTGGCAGAGAAAAAAAACAACAACAACATGTTAATTTAAATATATAACCATGCAGCATGTGATACATAATACATATAAGTCAAAGAGCAAATATACACTTCCTCTTCAAGAGTCCTTTAATCCGACTGTCAACAAAACTGTGTCAACTGCTGTCAGTCATTTAAACACAGGTACTACAACAAGTCTGTTATTTATGATCAGTTTAGAAACACACAATGTTAGCTCTTCATTTATGTGTTAATATAATAAAGACTCATTATAACGCGCTGAATTACACACACATCACATGCAATAACACACTAAAACTCATTTTCATACCACATGAGCCCGTCCTTGCTGACGACCTGTCCAGGAGGCACCACAGAGCCTTTGTCATAACAGGGACAAGCCTTAGCAGGGACACACTTCCCGGAGTCGTCCAGATAGGTTTCCTCTGCGCAGACACAGCCATCGATGGGCGGGAAGGAGAAGTGGCAGCTGAGATGTTCGGAGCTGATGCAACGGCAGGTCTGACTGCTGGATGTGATGTTGTAGGAGTAGACCATGCTGCTGGGGCAGGAGCTGGCGTATTTCCCTGAGGAGGTCACACCACAGAATCAGTGGAACACTGAGCACTGCAAGACGCCACATGAAGAGTTAGCTGACCTGCCAGTACATCACCACAGCCTTTTCAAGACTGCAAAGTCCTGATAATGAAGATCCATTGAGTATGAAGTTGTGAATTTGTCAGTGAGAGAGTGAGGGAATGTCTTTAAAATTGGCAATCAATCAATTGAGTCAAGTCCAATTTAAATGTCTTTAGATTTGACAGAAACTCCCACTTGCACTTAACAAACTGATCATAATTTTGACAAAACTTTACACAAATGTCCAAAAGGATATAGTGATTAGTAAGTTCAAAGGATATGTATAGCTGTGATCAGTTGCCACCATCATCACAAATTGATGTCGCAAGGAAGAGACGCAAGTGAGGGAAACGTGGATGTGAGATCAGGTATTGAGATGAACCCCTTGTTATTCTCCTCTCTGCCTTCTCAGCAGAGTGGCACAACAACAAAGAGGTCCTGGATATGAACCCAGGGAGGATGACGAAGCACGAAGCTCATCAAAGTCTCAGCCCCTGGGTTCACAAATGCTCCAGCTTCTCAACCTCCATCATCCCATTAAATTTGACCCTCGCTCCATTTTTCCCTCCTCCTCTAGTCATCCAAAATAACACTACTTTTATATGGTAAATATGGCATACATATATGGAGCTGTATCATCTGGTATAGAACATGCCCATTACTGCCTATATAAAATAAAATTGAAAAAAATAGCTAAATATGCAAAATCCATGTTTGCATTCATGTGAAATTTGATGCAGATCAGCAGTGGCACAAAAATAAGGGATCCTAAAATATGATCAGTCATCTGTGGTCTGCTGCTGCCCTCCAGTGGAGCGCAGCATGTCTGCACAAGACACTTTTTTCCCCCATGTTTGGCTCTTTGAGAGCAAAATAATTCATGTATTCTTTTTGAAATGCACAGTGTGTGTGTGACAAAAGTGTTTCTGTTTTAGCTGTGGGGCTATTCACAGCAGCCTCTTCAGCCTGACTGATGGAAACCTTACATCACATATATGACAGGTGGTTTACAGGCTTTGAAGTCAGTTGTAAATATTTCTATATATCTATATTTTTGTTGGATTATTTATTATTCATGTTATTAATCATGGTCTATTATTCATATCCATCCTCTCATAAATAAGACTTTCTAATAACCATCTTTAAGAAATTGTAAATTGATATTGAAATTTAGTGGTTGATGCTCAATTTTCTTTGGCAGAGGGTCCACAAACCCCCAGTTTCATATGTGTACCTCAGTAGCGATGGCTAATCTTGAGTCTCCGCAGTAAGGTTAGCTATTGATTCCAAATCCAAAAAAGAAAATGTCTCGGAAATAAACAGAGAATTTCATAGTGCGTGGACAGATTTGTTTGCTTCCAAAATAATCATAAATATCTCAATACAGAGTCACTACTTTGTTGTAAAACATTATTGAATGCTAATTTAGACCTATTAGAAATGTTTACACGCTAATTTAGATTTAATAGGCTGTGTTGCCATTACCATAAGATACAAATATATATTGTGGCTGCAGACAGATTTTCTCTTAAAAAATTTTGGCCAAAAATTAATAGTAAAGGTTGCTGACCCCTGACTCAGGGTGCTTTCACACTTGGTCCTTTTCAGCCCTCTAAGCGGACTCAGAGCAGTGACTCAGAATTTTTTGGGCTTATGTAAACACTCCAAAATAACTCAGACTCCTCTGAAGCGAACCGAACTCAGACCACCTCTGGAGGTAGACACGGAGGAGTAGTTTGTCTCCAGATGTGGAATGTAGAATACATCAAACAGCAACAGCCTACACAGAAACACTAAGGTTTTCCTCCAGTTTTAAGTACATCTGAAAGCGAGGGGCTTCATCAGTGTACTGCAGCGCCACATCAAAGTAAAAATAAAACTACATCAATATATATATATTTTATATATAGGTTATAGTATGAACAGAAAGAGAAAGTCCTTTCAAATGAGCTGAATGTGAACACAAAAAGAACTGTCCTTTTTCTATTGGTCCACTTTGGGACTGAGTTTGGTTTGTTTAAAAAGGACAATATGTGAAAAAACCCTTAGTTAATGCTGTCGAGGATTCAAAGTCACATGTACAGTATAACTCTCTTCTGTTTCACTCTCCACTCACCACAGATGACCTTCCTCCAGCCGCTGATCTGGATCCCTGCAGCTGCACAGGCGTGGACGTATGAGGACACCGCAGCACACATGCAGTCCTCACTTTTCTCACAGTTACAGCTGTCATACATGCAGTTCTGTGAGGAGACACAATGTGCAGTGTGAGGTCACAACAGGTACAGCCCAGGGAAACATTAAAAAAAAGCTGTGAGACGTACCTCACTGTACGAGTCAGGGCTGATCTCTGAGTGACAGGAGGCAAACACCCCCTGAGGGTCACTCAGCATGGAGCACCAGTGCTTGGCGTATTTCTCTGTCAGTGACAAACAAGCACCAACATCAGTTATTGTGAGGAACCCACAGTGATGACGGAGAATCCAAATGAGTCAGACCTACCGTTATCCAGACTGAGGCTGCAGGGGTTCTCAAAGTTGCTCTTCACATCTGGGCAACTGGCATGAGTCTTCCAGCTGTTGACAAATCCAGTTGCTGTGGCATCTGGAACACCGCTGAGCTTCAGGAAGTCGTCGGCTTGGTTGCTGTTGAAGTTCCCACACAGACCTGCAGGCGGACAGACGGCCTCATGGTAAGCAGCATGTCACAATCCCTGCTAGCATTTTTACACTCGTGGTTATAGAGTACAGTGTCTTATAACCAAAATGAGCATATTTAGACATTTCAGTCCAAGAGCACGTAGACAGAGTCTTAGTGCACATACCACAGGTCTTGGCCTTGTATTCACTGGTCACTGTGATGTAGAGCTGCATGATTGGCTGCAGCTGCACCTCCAACAGAACTCCAACAGACGTCTGCACCAGCAGGTAGAAAGAGGACGCTCTGAAGGCGGAGATCCCAGCTATGGTTTGAGAGAAAGGTTGTCAAATGAGTGGAACAGAGGATAAAGAATTAAATGTTAAGTGTCATCCTATCGAGGCCAGGGACAAATTAAATGAAGCAGATCCACAGTAAAGATGTTGGGGACATTGAAGTAGAAACTGGATGTTTATCAGAATCAGCTTCTGTAGAGGTTGGAAAATGATGTTCATGAAGTGTGATACCACTGTGGTTGGCTGTTGATTTCAGTGCCTGAGAATACTAACAGTATGTGAATCTCTCTGTGCCGTTTCCATTTTTTTAAATAAATATATTTTTTTCAAGATAGGCCTACCCAAGGAGGATCCTTTTGAGGTTGAGCATGCTAAAATGTTTCCTAACCTGGCAGTGATTGGATGTTTTCACCATCCAGTGAAAGAGACGTCTCCTTTGCTGGATTTGGAATTCAAGAACGGAGAATCCAGCTGTGTGTTTAATCACAGGTGTGATTTTGACTTAGACATAATGATGGATAACTGGTTAGTTCTGGTACTGAGATTTAAGGGTATTTGTGGGTGTGGGTTTTTAAAAATGGACTCTGGTACATTGCTCAGCTTCTGTGTTGGCACTCCTGCCTGCTTCTCCAAACTTGGGACGTGCCAACCGCCATCTGCTGAGCTACTGTATTTAATACACTGATGAGATGTACCTGATACAACCACACTTCAAAAAATCCGGACAATCCATTTAATTCTACTGTTGAGCTGTGAGGTTGTGACCTCTTATGGACACAAGATGTCGCCATGCACTCCTTTTCATCAGCCAGCAGTAAAATTCAGGAGGAGAGTGTGACACATTAAACACACACTTACACACTATTCCCTCACATAACGGCCGACAGTAGGTGTTGCGAGTGCAGCGACAAGGACATTGACCCTCACTTATTTCACATCCATAGCCACAGGCAGAGGTGCTGCTGCCAAGACCCAAATGTCTCAGATCCTCAAATACCCTCAGCTATGTTCCGAACTGGTTTGAATTCATCGTCAGTCAGTACTGGTGTGTGAGATCTGAAACCCAACAAGATTTCTATAATGAGGCAAAGCACAGTGGCTCCAACCACATGATATTAATTAACTATGTAATATGGAAACCAGCTTTATGAATGTGCAGGAGGACAAATTTAAGGCAGTGTTCTACATGTTGAAAGAGTAGAGGAAGAGATCATTATGGTTGAAGCATGACTGTGAAATATTTAGGAACTGAGAATCCTAACAGGAAGTGAAGTGAGATGTTTGTGGACTCCTCAGTCAGTCAGCTAAACTGTTTGTAGAAAACTTTACACAGAAAAACATGCAGCATCTTATAATTTAGGCACATAGTGTATTTTTTTTCTACATGTCAGAGGTGAATACAGTGGAGTGGAGTGTGTCTTACCAGCGGAGAAGGGTAACTGGGCGAAGATGCCGTTCACAAAAACCTTTCCGTTGGGATGGATTGTGATCACCTTAAACAAAAGGAGACTGGATGTTATTACTGCAGTCTGATTATATGTGTTTAATGATAGAAAATCAACTAATTCTGCAACAATGCATACGCGCACACTTTGAGAAAAAATCTGCCAAAAAAGTGGACACTATGATGGACTCAGACTAGTTCCAAGACTGCAAGATGATTTAACTCAGCCCAGCTGCCATAAGAAAACGTTGGCATTGCATGTTTCTGCAAACATTTCATGTGTAGCATGTCAACATTTCTAAAGTGCCGTAGTTTATGAGCTGACTTTGTCATCAACATGTGTGGCTGATGGTAGATGGCGTGACACATGGTGAGACACCTGTCAAGCTGCAGACCACTGTTCAAGACCAACAAACAACAACACCGGTTGTTTTTTGGCCCTTTACAATGTTTCCGCATGTTTGTGGCACCAAACCTGGGTGATTTCCACTAACTGGTCCCAGCTTTACTAGCAGCTTTAGTGCCAGCAAATGTGGGTGTTTAAAGCCAAAACATGATCTTTTCCTAACCATTAAAGTCATGCCTAAACTCAACTACACATTAATCACAGCGGTGTTGATAGATTTAAAGTTTCAGTGTAGTCACTACAAAATAATGTACAAATTTAACCTGTGGTTTGCAGAAACATACAATACATACATACAACTTTTTTACTGGCAATTAAGTTGTTAAACTGCATATTGAAATAAATATAGGAAAAAAGCATAGAAATAGTAAGAAAACACATTCAACAAACTACAACTCGGTTTGTTCTTTGGAAAATTATGATTTAAAATGATTTAAAGGCTAGAAAAAACTTAAAATTATGCTTTCCTTGTTTCCTTCAAACAGTAATACAAATAATGTTTAAGGCTTTGAAAGGGAAAATGTCTTAATAAAGTTCATTATTTATGTTATAATATTGTATTTGGAATTAGGATCATCCATAAAACATATTTTGTCTTTAATGATTATCTTCTTAAAACACTGAAACTATAATTTGATTTTCTCCTAGTAAAAAACGTCAAATAAATAGTGTTGTGTGTGTGTCTGCCTGTTGTGTATTGTACTCACATTAGCCCCTCCAGACAAACCCAAAGTCACAGTCTTGAGGCAGGTTTCACTTTCAGTCAGTCCACACTGCACCAGTTCTCCCTGCACCACAAACTGGGATCCACTGCAGTCCTAAACATACCAACACAAAACCATTCAGCCACTGCTGAACTAAAGCCATGAACCTGCAGATAGCAGTGTTCAGGGTTTAAAATACCAGAAGAAGAAGTGACAGTGGATATATCAGCCTGTTTTATAAACATATATGATGATGTGTGTTACCTTAGCCAGGACGTAGGAACAGTCCCCATGGAAGATGTAGAATTTTCCATCGAAGGTGTTGACATGAGCTCCTCCCTCCACGGCGCAGCTTCCGTGACAGCTTTCCTCTGTACACTTCCACTGGCCGCTCTCACACACACTGTCAGCACACACACAATTTGCTTTCTCAATAATGCTGTTGTGGCAATGTAATCACTGCTTGAATCATGTTCAGAGGCAATGTTTCTTTCAAGCAAGAAACGTTACATTCATGTACCACACAGGCTTTGCAAGAAGGATGCCAGGCGCACAAAGTGCAGGACTGTGACACCAGAACCAAAAGCACTGGGTTAATTTTGGGTAAAGGTAATCAAAAATAATTGAGAAGGGTGTACCACAAGGATCTATTTTAGGGCCTTTACTTTTCTCTGTTTTCTTAGTAATGGTCTTCCAAAAAATGTGTTCTAGTTGTTTTATTCAGTTATATGCAGATGACACTGTTATATACACATCTAATTCAAAGCAGTCAGGGTCACAGTTTTCTCTCCCTAAATTACAATTTTATATTAACGATGCTGTTGGGTGATCGATATTTCAATTATCACATTTGCTGAGTTAGTTTTTAATTTAACTCGTCTCTACTCAATAATGTAGATATATTTAAACATTTGGTATTTTGGATTGATTCAGATTTAGGTCTTATACTGATTTTGTTTGAAATAAAAGAAATGCAAATCTTGTTCAAATCAGTAGATATCAGTAGAACAAATAATTGTTTCACTCTCAGGTAAGAAAACAAATTGTCTTACACTTTTAATTCATATTATTGATTATTGTCATATCATGTATCAGAACACCAAGGAAAGGAGTTCAGGTGTTCCTGAGGTATCTTCCATTTTCTCCTCTGTATTTCTTTTACTTTGCTTAGTACTTTGACATAATGTTATTTTATCTTCCTTGAACATGCAGACAGAATAACATACTGTATTTCATACCATTTTTTGCAGTTACTGTAGTAGGACTCCCCTGGTCCATAGATCCTGCTGTTGTAGCTGCAGGAACACTTGCTCAGTGGGACACAACCCATTCCGCCCAAGTCATCCAGCACGGTGCCTGGAAATGATCAAGTGTTACTGCACTGAAACACATGGTGTGAATGTTTGTGCGTGTGTGTGTGTCTGTGTGTGTGTGTGTGTGTGTGTGTGTGTGTCAGTGTGCTGTACCTGCAGGGCAGAAGCAGCCGTCGATACAGTGGTTGTCACAGGTGTGGCTGGCCTCTGGGTTGGAGCAGGTATCAGCACAAGGACTCCCACACTCTCTGTACTCCATTTGGTGAGAACACGATTTCCCTGTGAGTACATCAGTTGTTTTCACCACTTGACGTACGTAACCCTCTGATTTACATTCAAGACATTAATTCACATACACTTAACTAATAATACTATATTCTGTATCTGATTTTTTTCCCCCTAATTTGGCCTCTTCCTTTATTTCTTAAATCCTGAGTGTGATTTTCAGTCATGGCCAGACACATTTTGTCTGGACAAAAGCCAAGACAGGGCCTGCAACCTCTCCTACCAATGGAATATTCAGTTGTCCAATGAGAATACTCACAGCAGAGCTCCTTGGTTCTCCAGTTGAGGGGTCTGCCACCAGCATGGCTGCACTGTCTGGAGAACTCTGACACAGTGTGACACAGGCAGAGGGGCTCGATCGGTTCTACGCCACTGCTGCCACAGTGACAGAGGTCAGAAATACAGGCGGATGTGAAGGAGGAGACGTCCAGGACACTGTGACAGCTGTTGAAGGCCGGCGATGTGAGGATCTGCTCACACAGAGGTTTCTACAGGACACACACACAGACACACACAGAGACAGACACACACAGACAGACAGGAATGAAACCAGAGAAGAGAAAAACAGGAAGTAAGTACACTGAGTTATTTTGTGAAATCAAGTGAACTTTGAATTATTTAAGGTACGCTGTTACGTCGCCACATAATGTTCATGTTAAGTACATGACTTCATGTTAAGTATGTAACGTGACCATGTCCAACCGTGATTCTTTTCCTGAACCTAGCCTACGTTGTCATGTCATCAACCCTAACCCTAACCCATAATGTGTATGTAATGTGACAATGCCCAACCATATTTCTTTTCATAAACCTAACGTACGTAACATTATGTGAAGTATGTAACTTCACGTTAACTACATAGCATGACGATGCCCATCAATGATTCTTTCCCTAAACCTAGCCTACGCAACTGTACATTAGGAATGCAACATGACAACACCCAAACATGATTCTTTCCCTAAATCTGACCAATGTAAGTTTATGTTAAGTACATAATACAATAATGCCATACCGTGATTCCTCTCATAACCCTAACCTACGTTGTCACATCATTACATAACACTAAGTAGATAATGTGACAACACCCGACCATGTTTCCTTTCGTAACTTACGTAACATGATGTGAGGTACGTAACTTCACGTTAAGTACGAGTGGTACAACGCCCAACCATGACTCTTTCCCTAAACCTAGCCTACGTAACTTCACGTTAAGTACGAGTGGTACAACGCCCAACCATGATTCTTTCCCAAAACCTAGCCTACGTAACTTTACGTTAAGTATATAACGTGATGATGCCAAACTGTGATACATTTCCTGACCCTAACCTACGTTGTTACATCACATAATGTTAAGTACATAATTTGACAACGCGCAACCACGTTTCTTTTCATAAACCTAACTTACATAACATTACGTTAAGTGCGTAATATAACGTTGAGTATATGACATGACAACACCCAACCATGATTATTTTCCTAAACCTAAATGACGTAACTTTACGTTGTCAAACCTAACCAAACCACTGGGGGGCTAATTCATAAGATATCCCACAAACTCTGGTATGAGGATACGTGCATGTCTCAATAATAATAATAATAATAATAATAATAATAATAATAATAATAATAATAATAATAATAATAATGATAAAGTATTGTGTCAAACAGTTATATTCCATTCTGATTTCCATGTAACTGGATGAAGCCTCACCATGTTGTTGCAGCTCATCGTTGATTCCTGTGTGAAGTCAGAGCAGCTTTCAGTCGGACCATCCATTTTCCAGAAGTTAGCAAAATCCTGGGGGGTAATCTTCACACCTGTTTGGACGATATCAAAGAAACAGCTCAGTCCTGTGGCTGTGCCGACACTGTCGGACTGACTCGTTAAAGTGGGTCAAAGTGTACCGTGGCTGAAGAACTCATTGTAGAGCTGGACCCCATTAAAGTCTCCGCAAAGACCACAGGTTTGGTTCTTATACTTCAAATCTAGCTCCACCTGTGAGGACAAAACCATCACCTTGAACAGGAGCTAGAACTTTTTCAATTGTAAGCTAACTCTGTTTTTACTCTACAGACTACCAGTGATATATGTTATGAATATATGTTTTACCTTAACTCAAAGCTTTGACAGTATTTATATACAATAATGGCAATAACAGGCTTTTCTATGCAGCCACAATCCTACCAGAAAAGAGTCTTCCATATTCCAGATGGCAACTAATCCCAGCTTCGCTTTGATTTTGATGTAGGTGGGAGTTTTCTCAATGAGCATTCCTGCTTTACTGAATGGTAGGATGGCTCTGCAACAACAACAAAAAGAGGTCACATTAGTTTACGTTTATTCCTAGAGCCATCCTATGAGGGAAGGTGTGAAAGCACAGGGTGACAATAGATGTAGTGCTGTGAGAAAATGAATTAATCTGTTTGAACGACTCTTTTTAATTTGCAACAGAACTCAAAGGGTTTGATACATTTACTTGCATCAACTCAAAGGAATCAGTACTGTGGAAAGAATCAGTCCGCCCATCACTATATAGAAAGATTGTCAAGATCAGGTTGTGTAAAGCATCATGAAACAAAGCATAAAACATTAGCATAAAACCAACACTGGTCAGAGAATCTCCACAAATAGATTTCTAAGGTAATCTAAACCATTCCATTAACACTTTTTATCACATATTCACCATTACCTCAATGACCTCTTAATTTCTGTGTGTTGATAGAAAGAAAGGAAGTTGCTGAACATGAACTGCAATAGGCCTTATAAATAAGAATTGTCATTCTCCCTTTAGACTTAATAAATATGGTATATTTTATGTAACAAAAGACAAAACTACAGGTGTTGAACGTGTTCACAAAACACTGAATTAAGTCTTTCTAACTCAGAATGTCAGATGTTCCCGTTCTAAAGTGAGGTCTTGCTCATAACTAACTTCACTAGTAGTTTAACACTAATCAGACCCAACAGAATCCCTGTTCTAAAGTTGCCTCCTCTTCCTCACACTTAGTAAATCCATTGAAGCAACTTCTGCATTCAACAGCTTCTGCCTCACCACTGCTAATTCCTCTCTGCATTCCTCCCCACACATCCGCAACCTCAGAGTTATTCTCAACGGCAACCTCTCCTTTGAAAAACATGTCAGTCACATTACCAGTACTGCCTTCTTCCACCCAAAAGACATAGCTCATCTCCGTCCATCACTCTCCCTCTCTGCTGCCAAAACTCATCCGTGCCTTCATCACATCCAGAATTGAATGTAACAGCATTCTTTATGGTTCATCATGCAAAGTCCTAAATAAACTCTAATACATTCAGAACTATGTTGCTCGTCTGCTCATCCATTCCTGCTCCTGCAGTCACATCACCCCTGTCCTCCACTGGCTCCCTGTCCCACAACACATCCAATTCAAAGCCCTTCTCCTCACTCCGTAACCAGGCCACCTCGTACCTCACTGACCTGCTCCACCGCCACACTCTAACACACTAACCCCTACTCCACAGCCGCCCCCTCCCTCCTGAACTCTCTCCCGAAACACATTTGAGATTGCACCAACAGACTGACAGACCCGTGTTTTAAGTGATGGATTACACCTTTAAAAAGACGGAGGTGTATTAACATGCTCAGGTTTTATTCCCATTCAGTGGTAGAAGAACAAAGTTGGCACAGATAGAAACATTCCCTCTATTAATGGACCACTTCATAGGTTGTCAAACATATCTTTTAAAATGCACTGCCTTATCACTTAAGTGGCTTTTGAGTGTTTTTAAGGGAGAATGACAACCACTTTATAAGGCCCATACTGAGCAAAGCATAATAAGATTGTAGTTCATGCTCAACAACGTCAGTAAGCAGCAATGAGGAGGTTATTGAGGTAAAACTCTCACTTAATGGCCTAGTTGTTGCAGTGGCCATGCAGGCCATGCAGAATAAGGCATTATTAAGTGCTTTAGATGACTAAAGAACCAATACACTACTAATATGCATGCTAATAAGCAACTAGTTAATTGTAAATATGTGTTACCAAGATATTTTAAGTGCCATTCATTCCGAAGCAAAACATTATGCTGCAGAGTAAGGTCCTGATCACACAGAAAGCATTTCAGCAGCTGGAGGCAGCTTTTTGTAGTTGTTTTAATGAGAATGAAACTTTTTGCTAGCTGTTTTTGCATTGCAACGCGCCCTGCGTTTCTGTGCTCTAGGCACCGGGCCTTTTTGCTGGCGCGTTCTGAACTAGTTGAAAAAAAAAAATTAGCTCAGAGCAGAAAAGTGCCCCACTTTATCTCTTTTTTCCTCATCTTTTTTTCCCATTGTCCAGTCAGATGATCTGAGAGGAGAAGGGCCTTCTGTGGTGGTCACAACAACATGTTACAGTTGTTAAAAAATGGAGGAGAAACTGGTGGTAGTGGTTGCTGGATACCCAGAGCTATACGGCCCGATGATAGACAGCAGGTTGTCAAACTGCCCCTGAGTCATCCTAAAATCTGCCTGTAAACGTCCATGATGGAGGAGAAGCTCCTGGACCAACTGGTGGTACTCCCCATGATCCAGCCTCTTTTTTAGGGTCTCATGTACCCACACAGATCTCTGTTTATCTGCTGACAGCCTCTCACCCTCAACCAGAGCTACAGACAGTACCCTCTGCCTCAACATGTCAGGAACTAGATTCTACTTACTGTCAGACTGATTATGAGAAAAGTTTAGAATAAGGAGGTGATGGGATGGTTGCCTGGCAACAATAAAAAGGCCCAGCATGCGTTCAATTTAAAAAAGAAGGCAGTACGGCACGCGTGTGATCAAGGCCTAAAGGGTTTGAGGTTTTTAGAGTTAACTTACGTTTCACCATCAATGACCACTGAGTCATCAGAGAGCTCCACCACCGACCCCTCCAGCTTCATGATGATGTTTTTGATGATGCGATGGCCGTCAGCCTCCTCACTTCTGATCTGGATGTTGAAGTCCTTGTAGCTGCTCCTGCATGAGGAGGTCAGGACGTAGTTGCAGGTTGAGCGCAGCTGGAAAACGTCTCCATCAAAGGTCTTGTAGTGGTAGTTGCCCCACGTACTGCAAACCTGGCCGTTGTGGATGGGACTCACTCCTACAAAGACAAGTCAGACATGATGCATCAACATATTTCACACAAGTCTTTACCCACAGGAATGAATTCTGCCATGAATTCTTTTTGTCTAGTTTACAGTGACTACCAACAACCAGTGAGCTCACCTGTTATTTTTTCAGGCATCTGGGATTTGGAGAACGTATTCACAGCAGACTTTGCCTCTGTTGAAAGAACTCAGAGTTATTTGTCAAGTAATCAACAATCAAACTACATTAACACACAATGAGGCTGAAGCCCATGGGTAAACATTTGAGCTGTTAATAGTCCCATTTGTTGTATTTGTCAAACTGCCTAATGGAATGAAATGTGTGTACCGCTGTGCCAAGCAGCTCCAATGGCTGACAGGGCCAGCCATAGCAGCCACTTGTTAGCCATAGCCATTTGCTTCTCCGCAGGAACTCTGAGGAAGATGGGAGGGAGGGCCAGCTCTTTATAGCGGGGGGCAAGGTCTTAATGTGGCAGTTGAAGGAGTGGCAGTCCCATAGCTTGACATGGTGATTCATGGCTGCTGGCTGTGCTGGTTCACTCCCAGTTAAAGTACTGATATGGAGGGCGAGGTTAGAGAGCATGCAAACAGATGTTCACCTCTCATCTGTGATGGAAACAAACCATCACCTGAAGGCCACAGTGTATTAATGTGGAATCCATGTCCACTGTGATGGCCAAACTAACATGATGTTTACAACCCCAATTCCAAAAAAGTTGGGATGCTGTGTCAAAGCTTTTTAGACCTACATTTAATCGAATACAGTACATAGACACCAGTGTTGTGCTAGTTATTGAAAAATAGTAACTAGTTATCGTTACTAGTTACAATTACTTAAACCAAAAAGTAATGCGTTACTGAGAAAAGTAACTTTTTAGCAGTGTAGTTTTTCTAAGCCACAAAGAAGACAGCGTTGCTAAGAAGGATCATGTTTTGGGAAACTCAGCCCTGCAGCCCAATATTTCCAAACTATATTGGCTCATAACTACATTGCCTAAGTGACAGCAGATGGAGTTTAACCAAGGGACTGTTAGACTACAACTTGACAAAACAATTGAACGGTATAGGAAACATGCAACATGTCTTCTACAGTGGAGTCACTCGCTGTCAGGCAGCTAAACGTTTTACAACTACGGTACTTGGATACAAATATGGAAAATGAGCTAAAAGCTTCCTCGGAATAACAATGGATATCATGTCACTGGATGTAACGCGCCTGACTGTTGTTGATGTGTACATGTTAATTTGATTTCAGTCATTTTGTTTTAAATCTGGACATGTGCAGGTGGACTCAGCCAGTGCTAAGAAAGGTCCTATGCCTGCCTGTTGGAGAGATAGAGAGAAGATTAAAGCATCAAATTGCGGTAAAAGATGCTGTATAAAAGACAGGCTACAATTTTTTTCCCTTGTCCCCCCCTGGAATTATTCTCTAAAATTTTACTGTTTATTGTCTCCCCTAACTATGAAATGGGATTTTCGCCCCTGCCTCTGTGTCCTATTTGAGAGATAACTTCATAAATAAGATGGCGGATGGACTAAATCCATTTTAGTTTCCCAATTAGAAGATCGTGATCCATGACATCAAATGCTGCACTAAAATCCAGTAATACTGCACCAGTCATCTTAGAATTATCCATCTCCTTAAACCAGTTATCTGTCATTTCTGTAAGGGCAGAACAAGTGGAGTAGTTACGTCTATAAGCATGTTGAGATCTTGTATTCAAACCATTACAGTCAAAGTAATCCTGTATTTGTGAGTGGACTATTCTCTTCATCAGTTTACTGAGTACTGGAAGAATGGCAATGGGTCTGCTGTTCTTCCCGGTAAGTGCTAGTCTGCCATCTTTAGGTCATGGAATTATTTTGCTTTCTGTGGGATATATACCCTGCATCAAACAGCTATTTAATATGTGACATATGGGACCATAGATATAGTCAGCTGCCAGACCAAGCACCTTACTATCTAGCATGTCAGAACCCACTGAGCTGTGTTCAGGAAGGGCCTTCAACATCTTCCTTACCTCCCTCTCATCCACACTATTGAACTGAAAAGTGCAGCTCTTACTAAGCATTATGTTATTTCTTATGAGCTTGAGAGTATTGGAATCCATATTGCCCATGTTCTGCCTTAATACAGTGACCTTGTTTATAAAGAAATCATTAAAATAATTGGCTATATCAAATGATTTAGTTATAACCCTGCCCTCCAGTTCCACAAAAGAACCTCCACCAGTTGCCTTTCTCCCCATTATTTCATTTAGAGTTCTCCAGAACTCTCTCCCATCTTGCTTTACAACATTTATTCTTTGCTTATAATATTCTTTTTTCATTGTTTTATTCAGTTTTGTAACTTGGTTTCTCAATTGACAATACCTTAATCTGTTTTCCACTGCACCACACTTTACTAATATAGATTTGGCTTCGTCTCTTTTCTTCATGAGGTCTTTTAAAGCCTCATTCAGCCATTGAGCTGGTCTAGCTTTTGCGGTACACTTTCTCATAGGAGCATGTTTATCAACAATCCTCATAAAGATGTTCATGAAAATATGCAAGGAAGCCTCTGGCTCCTGAGCAGCATACACATCAGTCCAATCAATATCTCTAACATCTCCTAAAAACAGTCAGGTACAAATTTCTTGTACATCCTCTTATATATTATTTTGACCTTGCATTTAGGGACCTTAGTTTTCCTGGTAATTGCTATCATATTATGGTCACTGAACCCCACAGGTAGAGAGACTGGCTTAGAGCAACACTCAGGAATGTTTGTGTAAATATGGTCAGTGCAAGTGGCAGATGTACAGCCAGTGCTATTTGTAAAAACTCTGGTTGGTTGCAAAGTCATTTGCAACAGGTTACAAGCATTGATTAATGATACCATCTTGCAAGCCAGTCTACGTTCATATCCCCGAGTAAGAAAATGTCACCATTCACATCTGCAGCTCTGTCAGTCAACTCACACAAGTCATTCAAGTATTGCATATCAGTTCCAGGAGGTTTGTAGCAGCAACCTATCAAAATTGGCTTCAGGTGAGGAAGATGTACTCTAACCCATAAAGATTCTAAATTATTTGGCATGAGCTCAGCACACGATGTTGCAGGAAAATAGTTACTGATATATATTGCTGTGCTACCTCCATGTTTATTTCGATCCCTCCTAAAAATATTGTAGCCATCAATGGATACCTCTGCATCAAGTGCAGTAACATCCAGGTGGGTCTCAGACATGGCTAAGATGTGATTTGATGTGAGATTTTTTTGTTTCCTGGTCACAAGGCAAACTATGATGGCAGGTTTCTCACTTACATTCTTCCGGGGAAGGGGATGACACGCCTCAGTGTCCTTACTGTTCATGGCTATGCCTTTGCTGTCAAAGAATGTGATCACCTGTTGCTCCAGGGAGTAAAGGTCTTGCTCAGTGGGCTCTCCATTTGGCACCGCCGCCCTGGTGTATGACCGGGGCCTGGTTTCCAACCCATTAATGATAACATCATTCATGCGGGAGTACTGTTCCAGGTCCGCAACTCGGCACTCCAAGGGGCAATCCTCTTATCCTTCTCAGCATTTTGTCTTTTAAGTTCCTTAATCTCACCCATCAGATCCATAATTACTTTTTGTTGTTTAGATATAGTGGCAATTTCTTCCGACATGAAATCAAGTGATCTTTTTATCTCTTCTATTTCCTCACCTTTCTTCTGTGACACCATTGTCTTCCAGTTGGCTGTCAACTGGAGCCCAGGCCTGGCTTGTTAGTAGCTGGTAGCTGCTTCAGATGCAGCCTGGGCCTGGTGGTAGCTGCTGCTGCAGCCTGGGCCTGTTACGGGGCGGCAGCAAGGACCCAAGTGCGGACAGACGGCGAAGCAGCAGGTTGAGTCCAGAAAGGTTTATTTCAGCTTCGGGAAGGAATCAGGGGTGAGGGGCTGAGTCTGGAGGGGAGGATGGGAAGGGTGAAGGGGTATGGGCCCAGAGGAGGGGGCAGGTTGAGTGGGGAGCAGGCTGGAGCGTCCGAGGTGAAGGCAGGCGGAGCAGAGCGGGGCCGGAGAGCAGAGCAGGCAGGTTGGTTACTGGAAACACAGGAAAACAGGATTACTGACAAAGTTTTACTCAGGTATTAAAACTAGAGGCTAGAGTCAAGCTGAATACTGACTGAACAGTGGCTACAATCTGGCAGCATGGATGTGCCAGGGCTGAGTACAAGTAGGCTGAGTTGATTGCAGGATGAGATGCAGCTGGTGGTGCTCTGCTCTGTCTCCGGCACACCTGTAACCACTCTGCTCACCACACCCACACACGCACACCCACACACACACACACCCACTCAAGCAGCAGATGTAACAGGGCCTGGTGGAAGCTGCTGCTGCTGCTGCTGCTGCTGCTGCTAGGGCCTGGGCCATGGTTTTTCAAAACAGACCAGTTTGTGATGATGTTTCAGGACAGAGTTCTGATTCTGGTTTTACTAAAATAAAAGTGTGCATGTGAATGCTGCTGCTGCTGCTACTGCTGCATAACTAAACCAAAGATTAAGTTGTTTAATACCCCATTGATCTGAACTTTTATCTTGAATGTTTATTTGGGGATTTTGTTTTCTTTTTTTGAACGCAACAGTCAAGACAATCAGTTCATAGCGTCATCTTGCAACTCTCCACACATCTTGCAAAACATCCATCCATCCATTTTTGTAACCGCTTATCCTCTTGAGGGTCGTGGGGGGGCTGGAGCCTATCCCAGCTGACACTGGGAGAGAGGTGAGGTACACCCTGGACAGGTCACCAGACTATCACAGGGCTGACACATAGAGACAGACAACCATTCACACTCACATTCACGCCTATGGACAATTTAGAGTCACCAATTAACCCGCATGTCTTTGGACTGTGGGAGGAAGCCGGAGCACCCCTCAAGAGGTGCACCCCCCTGCAAAACAGTCAACTCTAAAACCAACCGAAGCACCTGGATCATCAAACAGTAAGTATAACTAAACCAAAGATGGTGAGTTCTTCATATCTCTGGTTATGGCGTCTGTGAGCGGTTATTTCTCCAGTTATTTGGAAGCCGCAATAATTAGAACTAGTTCATTTAGAACTGTCAGTGTCAACACTTCATCATTTTATCCCATCAGATATTTGGGGGAAATTTCTTGTTAGGTCACACTGACCTTTGAACACCAAAATCTAATCAGTTCATCCTCGAGTCAAAGTGGACGTTTGTGCCAAATTTGAGGAAATTCTCTCAAGCGATCCTTCAGACATCCCATTCATGAGAATGAGATGGACGAGGTCACCTTGAGGTGATAATTCTAGTTTTAAATGTAACTATTAAGTGTGGTGAGCCACACAAACTAAATTCCAGTCACCTCCTGTGTGCCGGGGTGGAGACAGATATCCCAGAAATAAAGCAAAAGCAGCAGGGAGACACATCACAGGAAGGACGTGTAGTTTGTAATTTGGTTGAAAGACTTCAACTGTGACTTGAGAGGAAGTCACAGTTGTCGGCATTACTTAAAAGTGAAACTCAAACCCAAACATGCGTCCTGTGTTTGAGCAGATGTATTCGGTGTGTTTCTATCTGTGACCAGTAAAAAGGAAAGAGAACGTTCTTTCTTTTCAGGCTCAGAGTTTCAGGATACAGCTTCAGCATAAGGTTCAAGTAGGAAACACCCACTACTGCCAAATCAGATTTAGAGCTGTGGGAATGATAGATACTCTCCTGAGTGTTTTTATTTGCTTTGCTTTATCATATTTTGACGCAAGCAATAAAAGCTTGAACCTTTTCAAGGTGTGTTCGGATCTCTGAGTGATTAACACTTTTGTCTTTTGTTTTCTTATCACCAGCAGTCATCTTTAACAAAAGAAAGACTCCACGTGAATAGGAGGCAGAGATTACTTTAATTCACCTCAGTTCATTACAGATCCATTAGTATTGTTTTACCGTCCACCCAAAAACCAGAACCACTGTGTGGTGGTGTACGCAGCAGTATGGGTGTAACCCTGCCATCTACGCAGCAACACTAATCAGTGATTGTTTTCAGTCATGATACTTGAATACTGTTGTTTTATAAGAGGTCATGTATGTCACAACCACAACATTAAGTACTGAAAAGTCAGAAATCTTCACGTGAGATTAACTGAACCACATTTTAATTTCAGGTTCAGTGATATTTCATTTCTCGATTCACTGAAGAGCAGGGTTCCCAAATGGAGGGTTGCGTTCTAAAACTGGACTCAGATTGTGATCATTGCAAACACTGGGGTTAAAGTACTGCTTCCTGTTACAGATTGACTAATGTGTGTCTGCCAGCGGCACAGACATTAAGGAGACAATATTGCAACAGAAACATTCAGCTGTCATTTTTATGTAACAGGTTTTGAAACATCAACTGTTTTTGTGTGACTGAGGAGAAATATGGATCCTGAGAATCAACCCGGTTTAAATCGGAAGTCGTTGAATACTGAGACTTTGGCAGTGATAACCAGTGTCAGACACCACTTAAAAAAGACGTCCTTTTATGTCAGTATGATACACAGCTACTCACCACATCGGGGGAAACGCGGTGGAATAATAACCTAAGTCCCAGTCCCAGTATGGCAGGTGGAAGGGGTGGTGGACAGGTACAGCAACCACCGACTTTCACCTGGGAGGCCAGTGTTTGCTTCCTGTAAGATTGTAAAACCAAACCCTGTTCTTTTTTCCTAAACCCATCCCTGTGTGTTTGTTGCTGAAGGCAAAAGAAATACAAATTTGCTGTGTTTTACGGACGTAGTGCTTTTATTTTGAAAGAGACTGTATGCAAACTGTACATTTCCTCTGAAAACAGAAGTGTATTTTGAAGACAGACAATGCATGTAACAGGCTGAAGTTGACAAGGAGTCCCAGAACAACCAACACACCCAGGGTACCTTTCACATTGTATCTGGACGTTGAAGGTCCATGACCAAACACTGATATGTGACGAGGTCGGAGTGAGAATGTGTTGCTGTACGCCTTATTCCAGGGCTGGTCGGCCATCTTTGACCTTTCGTTGGCTCAGTCACTGGTATTTGTTCATTTATAAAGCCAAATAGGGTAAACTCCCTTTATACATTTGCACTTTGATTAAACAGAAATCTGACTGCGGTTATAGTCTGAGATCTCAAGATTTAGTCTTGTCTGTTCCTGGTTCACGGACTGAGCTGAAAACTTTCATGTGTTGTGCTTCCCACACTTGAAAAAGCCTTAAAAAACTAAGAGAATTGGTCTGTTGTCTGATTTTAAAGCTCTCATAAGTACAAAGGTGAATGAATCAGATGGTTCTTGTCATTGTGTGTAGGCATTTTAATATTTCGACATGTCACCATATATCTTCTTTATTTTTTATTCTTGTTTGTACCTTTTTTGTGCTGCTGTCTCGGCCAGGTCTCCCTTGAAAAGATATCGCTGATCTCAACCTGACTTTACAGGTTAAATATGGCTTCAGTTAAGAAAAAAAAAAAAGTAAGTGCGGTAGCAAAGGCTTCTGTAGCCCACAGTGGTAATCAGTTTATAAAACATGAAACCTATAAATGAAATTATGGCCAACATCTGCAGGCTCTCATGTTAGCTCATTACTTAACTTTGACCTTAAGATAAGTCTGGATGATATAAAAGGGAGTCTCCACTGAATTCCTTTATATGTACACATGATTTAGGCATGCTACCTGTATTTTCACCTTATCATATATTTGCTTTGTGATTTAGCTTTGATAGAAAAATACACTCAGATTTCTCCCCAATAATCCAGGTCAAACCACAGGAGCTGGTTTATTGTGATCGGGCCCAAACCACCGGAGTCTCAGCCCAGTTATCACTGTTGGTTTAAGGAGGTGAACACTGTCCAAACACCCAGTGTTGTCACATCTCAGGTTGACTGTTGTGCAACATTTTCACTTTAAGTCAGAGCCAAATATGGAAGACACTGAGTTTGAGTCCTCAGAGCTGAGACTATCAGACACAGCAGATCGTTTGAGACAAAAGAAACATGCCAGTGGGTTCATAATATAACTCTTAAAACAACATTATTCATCTTGTCATTAAACACAATTTGTTAGAAGTTCTGCATCCATTAAATCTACTCTGTTTATTAGAAATTACTATATTAATCCTGTGTCACTTTGTATATACACAAAAATGGGAAATGCACACACGTGCAACAGAGAGATGCCTCACAGTTGGCGCTCAAAGCACCTCAGCAGTGCCAGCTGAATTTGAGCTGGTTTACACTTCAAAAATCGTCAAAGTGGTGTTCATTTGTGAAGATTATATTGCAGAAGAAAAAGTGTAAGTATCATTGACGTTTGTTGTCCACAGAGCTTATTTTCTGCAATAACCTAAAATGCAGTGGAAAAATCCCATTGGATTTTTGACAGGGGAACATGGGTGACGCTAACTTCTGGGTTGGCCTACCAAAAACATGTCATCCCTGCAGCACTCTCTCCCCTTTTCCATGTGCTGACAGTTGGCCCAGGTGCTCCGCTATAGCCTGG